CCCCAAGAGATCTGCTGTCCTCCTCTTGCTCAGAGACCCCCTTCTAAAGAGCTGCCTGTTCTGTCCTGAGCTAGGTCTGGTGGGGCACAGAGCAGCCTCAAGAGACCCCTCCTCAAAGGAGCAGAGAGTCCCTGGTGATAGACTAGGAAGTCACACAGGGCAGCCCTTGCCACAGGCCATCCGGGAACTTCCATTGTTTGCATTGCCTTTCAGGGTGCGGCACATCATGGGTGCTCAAGGTGTGCCATTGAGTGCTGGGGCTATGTGGGGTGGAGGCAGCAGGTAGTGCTGGGAGCCATGACTGTGGGCTCTCAGCCCCTTCAGGATGGATTCCACTTTCTCTGCCCAGGCTTTCCCATGAATCTTTCCAGACTCTAAGGGAAGTGGGAAAGGGACACTGTTCTCAGAAGGGGGGCCTGCAGGGATGAACGTTTTTGCCCTTGTCTCTGTTTCTATCCTTCCCCAGCAGCCCCTGCAAGTTCAGCCTGGCGTCATCAAAGGACAATAACTTGATAACTTGCATTATGAGTGAGGTGGGGCAGGGGTCAGAGCTTATCTTCCTGATGAACCTTCCAGGAAGTCCCAGGGAATGGCTGCAAACTCATGGCCCAGAGCCCCTCAGCCGGGGATCCTGTCCCACCCCTATCTTGCCCTCTCTGCCTAGGTCTGCCTGCTGAGGATGGCTGGGCCTGCCTACCTGTGCAGGTGGGGGGCCTTGTGGAACCACACTTTGTGGGGCATATTTCTAGGCCTAAAGAGATCTTTCCTGAGTGTAGGAGGGTGACAGGAGGAGCTCCATTTACATTTGTAAATTAACTCATTCACCTGAATGTCTCTGGGAGGCACACACTGTGCCAGGTCCCTCAGTGTCCCAAGGTTCCATCAGCCCATTCAGGAGCATTGCACAGAGAACCTGGCTGCCCACACACCAGTGCTACAGGCCTCTCCCAACCCCACCCATTTCCCCCACCAGACACTGGGACACTGACTACATTTGCCATTGTTTTCTGGAGGATCTGAGCCCACTGCTGTCCCTCACTCTCGGCTGGACATTTGTTCCTTTTTTCCAAGTCACAAAACCCACTCATTCCAGATGATCTTCCTCCCTAATTACGGCAATCATTGTTGGATTGCATGCTTTGGTTACACAACTATATTTTCGCATGTTAATTGCATAATTAAGACAAGCAATTATGTGGGAAAACTTTGGAAATTTCCAGGCTCCCAATGTGATTTTTTTTTTTAAATATTTATTTTAGTTTTCGGTGGACACAACATCTTTGTTTGTATGTGGTGTTGAGGATCGAACCCGGGCCGCACGCATGCCAGGCGAGCGCGCTGCCACTTGAGCCACATCCCCAGCCTCCCAATGTGATTTGAGGGTCCAGCAAGGTGCCCCTACTGTCTACCTTGGAAGGACAGTAGGGACTCTAGGACACAAATGTAGAGGTTGAACAGTGACCATTTCTCTCAGCTTCTCCAGATACCCTGATTCAGAAGCTCTGTCCTTATGGTCCATGGACAGTGGCACTTCCTAAACCAGGTAGCAAGTGTGAATCAACAGGTATGGCCCTCAAAGACCCCGTAAGCTGGCTCTTGCCTGCATGTAGCCATGGGCCTTGGGGATATGGAGCCTGGGCTGTGGCTCTTGTGTGCTTCTAGAAGCTCAGGCCTAACGTGTCTTCTTCAGTGGCTTCTGATGTCCTGGGCAGCTCACAGCTGAGTAGAGGGGTCTAGGAGAATAGGCTGGACGCAGTGGCTGATCTCTTCCTTAATGCTCCAACTCTAGCTTCTGTCCTTCCTCAAGGATGGACAGAATGGCCCCAATCAAGTCCATCTGATAGTTTGTCCACCACAGGGTCCTTCCCTTCAAGGACTGGGAGCTCCTGGAGAAATGGCCCTGGAGAATCCTCACCCATCCTTCCCCTCCCTCTGCACAGATGCTGTGCTATCATGGAGTCCATGCCTCTGCCCCCAATACTGTATGTATATTTGCATATTGCCTTATTTCAAATGCATCCAGGGAGTCAGTTATTTAAAGAAATACTATAGAAGATCCTTTGGTAAAGACTGGAATCACTTTGATTTATTTTTTGTGTAAGTTTGGATTTTCGTCTCTCTAGAGATGGGGTGAGGGAGAGGCTGCAGGCAGGTTTACATCTTTCTACAGCCTTCAGTACTGGCCCCTGCATACTCCTGTGTGGCTCAGTATGTCTAAATCAGATTTGCTTTACTTGACAAGCATGGTTCCAAGGCCATCTGTGTGTCAGTCTCAGTGTGCTGGAGGTGAAAAAAGAGAGACAAGACCCAGTCCTTGCCTCTCAGAGTCACTGAGGGAGACAGATATGTGCCAGGTGCATCAACCCAGGAGTGTTCAAGGGGAATTGTGGTTGCACTGAGGGAGGTGGGACTGACTTTGCCCCAGACTCCAGAAGACATGGAAGGCTTCATGGAGGAAGTGATTTTAATGCAGCATTGTGGTTGGTAGAGTTCAAACATGGCAAACAAGCAGGGAATGGCAGGTGGGTGTGGTTTAAGTGGAGGATGCAAAGTGGGGACATGATAAGACTGGGGAGATAAAGAGATTAGGGTAACAAGCAGGGCCAGGCCGAGATCTGTGTGTAGACCTAGGAGGCTGGTTTCAATTCCAAAAACAAAGGGGTTAGAATTGGGTTGTGTTTCAGGAGTGACGCACGCTTACTTTTATTTTGGGAAGATCCCTTTGGTTGTGGCATTGATGGACAGAAGGTGGTGAGGTTGGACAGAGATGGACTGTGAGTTCAGAGCCACAGGCTGGAGGGAGGAGAGAGCCTAAGTGGGGTGGGGTGGGAGCAGGGATGCAGAAGAGGGGTGGAGCTCAGAGACATTTGCAAGGAAAAAGGGAAATGACAAGAGGGCTCCATTGGTAGGAGTGAGGGGAGGAGAAGAGGGTAGGGAAGGGGCAGCGCACTGGTAGGCAGGGAGGGACAAGAGGTCAGTGAATTCCTGACTTGTGAGCTCTAGGTCCTCTATGGACTAGAATTTGGGTCACCTGCCAAGAGTGAGAACACAGGTGTGGGGGAGGGTTGTAAGGGCTAAGTTTGTGGTGGGCATGAGGTTTTTCTTCAGCTAACCTCTTCCTCTTCTTCCTCTTCTTCCTCTTCTCCCTCTTTCTCCTCCTCCTCCTCCTCTTCCTCCTTCAGATTGAACCCAGGGGCACTCAACCACCATCCCCAGGCACCCCCCCTTTTTTTAGTTGTAATTGGACATAGTACCTTTATTTATTTTTATGTGGTGCTGAGGATAGAACCCAGGGCCTCACTTGTGCTAGACAAGCACTCTACCGCTGAGCCACAACCCCAGCCCAGGCACCCCCTTTTTAATATTTTATTTTCAGAGTTTCATGAATTGCTAAGATGCTGAGGCTGGCTTTGAATTCTCGATCCCCCTGCTTCAGCCTCCTGACCCACTGGGATTACAGGTGTGCCTGCCTGTGCCCTGCTTCAGCCATTCTTGGTTGCCAGGGGAGAAGGTTGGGGTGATCTTGGGAAGGGATCAGGGGCTGAGTATTGTGGAAGATCAAGTCCAGAAGGTCCTAGGATTTTGGCAACAGTGTCACGCCCCTGTAGAGTCCATGCTGGTGATGAGGAAAAGGAGGCCGGGTGAGCGGGAGGGAGGAGTGGAGGAAGGGCTGGGTGCGGGCAAGCAGGCAGATGAGCACAGAGAGCTGAGGAGACCTGAGGGGTCCCTGACAGAGTCAGCACCCCAGCTGGGGGACACCAGTCAGGGTTTCCCCAGGTTTCTCACTTCTCATCTGTGACAATGCTTTCCTCCAGGTTTACATGTGACAGCACACGTGAAGGGCTAGGACCAGGAGGCCCTCAGTGATGGGTTACACAAAAAGCTGCCAAATGCAACAGCAGAGCTGACCTGAAGGAGGCTGGTCAGCGTCCCTTTCCTTGTTCACCTGTGAACCCTAGAAGTCTGTTCTGTTGCCAGCGCATGGAGGCACTCAACAGGTGTTGGTTTCAGGAGGTAGGCCAGGCAAATAGGCCTGAGATTAAGCTGAGTCTCCACTCTCTCCTCTGACAGACAGACAGCATGACAGTACCTGCCTTGTAGGTGGTGAGCGTTAAATAAGGTCTCTGATGTGAAATAGACACTATTGGTGGCCCTGCCCTGTCCCCTCAGCATTCATGTTCCTGAAGGCTGCTGGCTTCTTCCTGCAGGCACCTGCAAGTCTCGGCTCAAGGGTTAGGAGACCAGAGAAGACACCAGGAAGCCACAGAGTTAGCACTCCATTAACCCAAGACAGGAGTCACAGCACAGAGATCCGGCTTACGGCTTCTGAGGCAGCATTAATTGGATGTGCCCCTGAGAATCAACTCCCAACTAAACACTTGTACTCAAATCCCTGTCCCAGGGTCTGTTTCTGGGAAACCCATCCAGGAGAGCTTGGAAGGTGCTTGACGGGAAGAAGACCCCTGGCAAAGGGCAGCGGGTGCACTAGTCTGAAGGCTTCATGAAAGCAGAGATGTCCCCTTGGACACAGTGGGCTCCTGAGGTGTAGGAGTGTCCTGGCACAGAGAAGGCACTCAGAAGGCATTCCTGCTCAGAATGGCAGGAAGAGGAGACTCGGGCAGGAAAAGAGGTGTGCCCAGTGAAGCAGCATGCTCCTGTCGCTCCCTTGTCCTTTCCAGCCCTTTCTTTGTCCCTGTTCTCTTCTCCAAGGCCTACATATTTCTCTCCTGGTCCTCCTTATTTTCTCTTTTCTCCCGCTCTTTCCTCTTCTATGCTCACAATGTCCCTCTGCTGTCCCTAAAGTTCTGCTCTGGAAATGAACCTTTCTGCAGCATTGTGACATCACTGTGTGTCAGCCAGTGCCCGCCCACCTGGGTTGGGCCCTCAGCCTCCTGGAACCACTGGCCCTCTAGTGATAGGGCCACCTTTTCCTCTAGGGCCCCTTCATCTTCAGGGGCAACTTTCAGAGCATGGATCCCTCCTGATTCTGCTGTGGCCCAATGTTCCTCACAGTCAAGCTGCTTTTGGGCCGTAGATGCAACCTCAGGGTGTCGGGCCATGAGAGTGTGGCCACACTGAAGAAGCTGGTGTCCCAGCGGCTGCAGATACCTGCAGAGCAGCAGCACCTGCTGTTCTGCGGCAAGCTGTTGGCTGATGACAAGCGTCTCTCCGACTACTGCATTGGGCCCAATGCCTCCATCAATGTTATCATGCGGCCCCTGGAGAAGGCGGCACCAGAAGAAGCCCCCCAAACCCAGCCCCTGTGGCACCAGCTGGGCCAGGTCCTAGCCAAACACTTTGGGCCCCAGGATGCCAAGGCTGTGCTGCAGCTGTTAAGACGGGAGCACGAGGAGCACGTGCAGAGGGTGAGCTTGGATGGCCTGGAGCGGCTGGCCTGCCGCCTCCTGGCACAGCAGCCATGTGTAGAGCCGACCAAGAAGAAGGAGCCACAGGCTGTGGCCTCAGAGCTTCAGCAACATGAAGGAGGTGGAGAAGGTGGAGGAGGAGGAGCAGTCGATCAGTACTTACGGACTCCATAAAATTCTGGCCTCACCCTCCGTGTTTCCTGGTGATTTTCCACTCCTTCCTCCGGCTGCAGGTGCAGCCATTCTTTATTTTTGAACTTTTAAAGTGGCGGGAGGGTATTTGGAGCTTCCTGTTTCCTCTTGGGCTTGTGGTCCTGCTTCTGAAATGCAGAATGATTCCATTCCTATTTCTATTCCCTAGAAGGGTTCTCATGGCCCCAGAGTAGCTATAAAGGGACCAAGTCTGCCTCCCCCTACTAGGCTGAACAGCTCTGCCCAAGCATGGCTCAGAGTCCCCATGGCTCTAGACAGAGCCTCTTTCTTCTTCAGAATAGAAAGACACTGTGTGTCCATTTTCCCTTAACCTCAGACCATGGTGCCTACCCTCAGGCTCCCAATAGCCAAGAGAAGGGTCCAGTCAGGTGACTGCCTTTGCTGTCTGGGTGAGGCTGTCCTTGCTATCCACCTGCTTGTGCTTCCACAGCTTTGGGGACAGGGGCTGCAGAGGTGGGAGTATAGTCGAGCTGTAGACCTGAGATTCCATGGACACAGATGTAGCCCCAGAATGGCAGGAAGAGGAGACTCAGGCAGGAAAAGAGGTCTGTAAGTAGCACACTTGTGTGGCCAGCAAAAACCAAGCCACTGTCCACTAACCCATTCAGATCAGTCAGGAGGGAGCAATGAGCTCCAATAACCTGCCCATCACTGCCCAATGCTTCCTGGGAGAGTTAAAAACAAAACAAAAAAAGGTACAGCTAAGACCCCGGGAGTCTAGATGAGAGACGGTTGTGCATGTGAGAAGTGAAGTCCCAACATGACACTAGGACATAGTTGTGACTAAATCCTCTGGTGCTTTCAGGGTCCTGGGATGGTCCCCAGGATATGGAAGAGCCAAGCCCTTCTCCTGTTCTGGGTGTGAGAGGGTGTCCTTCGCCTAAGGCCAAGAGATTCCCACTCTGTATGGGTGGGAAGAGGGAAGGGGAGCTTTCTGAGTACCGTGGTCCCTCCCCCTCCCCCGGCTTCACTCCTGAGTCCCTGAAGTTTTGTCCTGGAGGATGGAGATGGAGGGCAGGGATGAAGGAGATGAGAACAAAGGATCAAGCAGCGCCTGCTTCTCTGGGGAGCATCTGTCCTTGGCCTCACTCCACCATAGACTTGCTGCTGGACCATGGCTGGCTGACTTCCCCTGTCACATGTTTAGGTTTCCCACCTTGTTTCATGGGCTCATTATCCTAGTATCTGCTTGCCCTTAGGTGTTTGTGAGGGTTAGAGGTGAGAGCTACCCAATGGGGAGTGACTTCTTCTAGGGCCTCAGTGGCAGGGCCTAGAAACATTGCCTGTGTGAGACTGCTTGGTAACACCTATCCCCCGACCTCTGCCAGAAGAAGACACCTTTACTCATTTGGCCCATCTCCCTTACCAATGCCCACTCCCACTCCACCAGCCAGAGGAGAAAAGTTGAACTCTGAGGACCAGAATGTCCTTTCCCTGGCCACTGAGTGCTCAGCCCCTGCAGGTAGCTCCTGTCTAGGTCCCGGTCCTGCTCCTGGGCCCTTCATCATCAGCTGGGAGGCCTCTTGACAGTTCTGTGAGTATGTTTATATTGGGGCTGTGCCGTTTGCCAAGGGGGACAAGCCTATTATCTTTACATTAGAGAAACTAATAGCCCATTTCCCAGGAAATCTGTGAGCGATAAAAATAAGTGGGCCGTTTTATTCCTTTTGCGAAGAGAAGCTAGCATGAAGGACAGTGGAGACTTTGTTTTCTCTCTGGTTAGTGGGAGCGTCAGGGCTGGCTGCTGGCAGGCCAGGGCAGGCAGACACCCCACTGCTCCTGTCCCTGGGCAGTGCAGAGAACATCTCCAGTTCTGAACAGGCCACATGTGCCTCCACAACTCCTGTTCCCCTTGCTAAGAGCCCTCCTGTCCCCTGATCCCCTCAAAAAGCTGAGCCCAGATGTCACATGGAGCCTACAGCACACACTTGAGTCAGTTTGCCACCCTTCCCAGGACTAGTTTCACCCAGTGCAGCATTTCCCGTTGCGAGGTGACAGGCCTAACCTCTAGTGGATAATTTATAGTTATCGGTTGGGGGTATATGGAGAAGCTAGAGCAGGAGTAGCCCCGAAACTCCAGCGTGGTGGAAAACCCTGCCTCTTGGGCCACCTGCCACAAGGACCCTTCACTGTGCCCGGTTTCAGCTTACTTCAAACTTAAACCTGTGCCAGCTGAAGGAGCTTCTCCTCCCTTCTGTGTTTCACCATATGGGGAAATGGGAATGGGGGGGACACTGCAGCCCTGGGCAGATAGCTCTTCTCTAATTCTGCACGGCATCTTCCCCCCCACCATGGAAGGACACAAGTGTCCCTACTGTCAGATCAGTCGGGGCAGGCAATGGCCAAAGGTGGCAGATTTAAAAGGGCCGCTGAACAGGCTTTATTGAGATATCACTCCCCAGGCGGAACTTGATCAGACCCACAGAGGGGACCGGAGAAGGGTCTGAGGAGAAACCTCGTGGAAGCTCTACCGGACTGGACTTTTATGGGGCTTACAGCAGGAAGGGAAGGGCTTGGGACAGGAAAAGGTGTTTCTAGGGTCCCTTGCCCCCTTGAAGTTGGTCAGGGGAGTTGGCTGAACTCTAGGATTGGCCAGGGGGGTCCTGTTGATTGACAGGCGTTAGTCAGGAGATCTGGCTGATTGACAGGCGATTCCGCCGGCATCTGATTGATGTTCTTTTCGGTGCAGGCTGCTTTGTTCTAAGTTGCCACTAGTCGCCACCAAGTCGCCGCCACCGACCTATAACAACTTTGTTCATATAGGAGGTATCTCAGGACTGCCAGCTTTGTGTTCCTGAGCAGAGATACCCAACACCTCAGCCTGGCTCCTTCCTGCAGGCCAACGTCCCACACCCTCTGGTACCTGGCAAAAGAGTCTTTCTGATAGAAACAGGAGCAGCATCTTGGTTCATGTCCTACTTCATTAGACCTTTATTCTTCAATCAATAAACATTTAAGGACCTCTGTCTCAGTCTGTTTGAACTGCTATAACAAAACACCTTAGGCTGGGTAATTCACAAACAACAGAAATTCATTGTTTACAGTCTCGGAGGGCCAGAAAAGCCAGGTGTCAGCAGAGTCAGTGTCTGGTGAAGACCTGTTCCTCATTGACGGCACCTTCTATGTGCCCTCACATAGCAGAAAGCAAAGAGACTCCAGTTCGTTGAGAAAGGCACTAATCCCAATCACGAGAGCAAAGGCCCATTCTTATTCTTAACACTGTCACATTAAGCATAAAGTTACCTGTGTAAATTGTGGAGGAAACACCAACACTAGGCCAGCCTTCTTCCTGGTGCCAGGCTTTGTGCCTGGGACTTGGGCTGGTAGATGAGGAGTCCTGGCTCCTGACTGACAGTAGTGCGCCCCCTGCTGTCCCTAGCAGCAGGGTGCAGCCAAGGAGCATGAGGAAGCACCTGGCATCCTGCCTTGGCCTCTGATTGACACGGCTTGGGGGAGGTCTGTTGCTTTCCCCCCTAGTTCTGAATGATGGGGCAGGGAAGAGTCTGTTGGGATGAAAAATCTTGCAGATGCCAAAGAAGCTTCCAACACTCTAGGACCCTGGGTGCCTGGTTTTAGAAGCAAGCCCCAGTCCTCTGTCCTTTGACTCTTGCCTGTTCCCTTCCCCCACCTTATTTGCTCAGGATTGAGTGAGATTTTAGTCATCATAGAAAGATTCCATCTGTTTTAAATTGGGAAAGAGGAGAATAAATGGAAGGAAGTGGAAAGCAAGGCTATGCTCCCCACCAAAATTGACAGACTCCGGTTGAGATGCCTGTAGGAAGACTTGGCAACTCTGTGTTGAGATGTGCGCCAGATGGGATGGGCAGGGCTCAGGGCATCTCCCATCTGTGCTGGGAGAGGTTCCATTAGGGGGACGGGGGCTAGGGGTAGAGTGTCAGCTTCTATTTCCACGACTGGGACTTAAGTTTGCTATCGCTAACAAAAAAATTAAAAAAAAAAATAGTGTGAGAAAGGCCATAATAAATGTAGGAAGCTCTCCTGAATATAGTTTTAAAACTGTTGACTTCCTCATTCTTTGGGGTAGCCCTCTTAGTGGATGAATCACTACACATGGAAGCCAAGAACCCAGTCTAAGTCCTCACATCAAAAGCACGTAAGAACAACAAAAATTTGACATAATTGATACCTACTGTAGTTGGAGGCCATGAGGAGGCCCCCTGAGCGCCACCTCTTGCTATACAAGCTTTTGTGTAAGTGTCCCCTTTGAATGTAGGGGGGGCTGTGATTTGCATTTAATTAATAGAATCTCAGTGTGAAATGGAATAATCAAGTCAACCCCTGAAAAGGGACAATCTGATAACACAGAAACCTCCCAGCTGGGTATACGCCTGGGACCCCATTTTAGCTCCACCATTGGTCTTGAGCCTTGGGTGAGTCACTTCATATCTCTGGACCAGACTCTCTCACTTGCAAAATGGAAGAAGGGGCTAGACTCTGGTGCTGAGGTTCTGTGTTGGTGTGAAGTCACAGATAGGAGCTGCTGGTGCCCCAGGCTGGCAGAAGTTGGCCCTCCTCTTACTGTGAGGCTTTGAGCAAGAGGTCATAAATGGACAATGGTGAGATGGTCAGGATAGATTGCTACCAAATAGAACGGACATTATAAATACACTTTAAAGTAAGAGGAATGTTAAAATCATACCATTGATGTTCTTCAAGGACACACACCTAGGCAAATATCAAGAAGTATTTGACAGGAAGGGAAATGCAAGCAAGGAAAGGTTCACAGAGGCTTCAATTGGATTATGAAATTTATTATATTAAGTGGAGGGTATGTAGGTATTAGTTTTCTATTGCTATATAATAAGGAACTACAAATTTAGCAACTTTCATATTATCTCACAATTCAGTGATATGGTTCACCTGATGCTTATGGCTCTCCGGAGGCTGCAGGGAAGATGGCGACTGGGCTGTGTTCTCATCTGGAGTCTCAACAGGGGAAG